GGAGGGTATGTGTATGGAGGACTACACCTCCCGGCATGCATTGCGCGCGGGGCTGAGGGTAGTTAGCGGCAGTGAAGAGCAGTGCGCGCCGGGAGTTGTAGTCTGCAGGTTCGCTGAGCTGCGAAAGCTGTCCTACGAAATCGGTGGCTGCTGGAGGAGGGGAGAGACAGAGCTTATTTGTCTGGCGCGGGGCGTATTTACCTGGGTCGGGCTTGTTTGCCTGGTGTAGGACGGACTTACCTGGTGTCGCTCACGACAGTCGCCTGGTGAGCCGTGACCGGCTCCGGGTGAGCAAAGAAGGGGGGCGTGAGGGAATGAGAGAAGAACAGAATATATCTGAGTAGTGCTTAGAGAAGAGGAGGGTGATGGGTTGTTGTGGTTACTTCCTTCTGTGTGACTGCTTTCCCCCTCTGTCTGTAGTGAGTAAGAAAAGAAACTATAGGTTTTAACTGCAGCAAGGACTGTTGTGGTTGGATGCAGAGGTAAAAAGTTCTGGTAATGGGATGTCCGCACTGAGCTGTGTCAGAAAGAGAAGTCATAGAATTACAGAATGGTTTGGGTTGGAAAAGACCTAAAAGACTGTCCAGTTCCAACCCCTTGCCATGGGCAGGGACACCTTCCACTAGACCAGGTTGCTCCAAGCCCCATCCAACTTGGCCTGGAACACTTCCAGGGATGGGGCAGCCACAGCTTCTCTGGGAAACCAGTGTCTCACCACGTTCATAGGGAAGAATTTGTTTCTAACATCTAATCCACCCTTGCCCTCTGGCATTGGGAAGCCATTCCCCCTTGTCCTATCACTCCAGGCCCTTGTCCAAAGTCCCATTCCAGCTCTCTTGAAGCCCCTTTAGGCACTGGAAGGGGCTCTAAGTGTCTCCCCAGAGCCTTCTCTTTTTCAGGCTGAACAACCCCAAGTCTCTCAACCTGTCTCCATAGCTAAGGTGCTCCAGCCCTTGGAGCATCTTCATGGTCTCCGCTGGACTCACTCCAACAGCTCCATGTCCTTTTCATGTTGGGGGCTCCAGAACACAAAGCTCCAGGCAAAGTCTCATGAGACCATAGGATTTCCTGTTGTTGGAGGCATCTAAGAACAAATTAGGCTGTTCTCGGTGCAATTACTATTGCATTGCTGTTGCTGCTCTTTGGCACACAGATGTGAATCATGCAAGGACTTGTCTGAAAGGCAGATGGGGATTTTTAGTGGTCCTGCACTGGGTTAGAAACAATGCAAACATTTAGGCATGTTTAGCACTGGGTGTCTTCATTGTTTTGCTTGTTAATGTGTGGTTAGTATTGAATGGATTATAATTGCTGGATTTTAATTTCATTTTTGTTTCCTCCTGTTCCCTTTGCTTCACAAATAATGAAGCCCCACCACGCATCTTCCAGGAAAATGGGGAAGACCACTGGTGGGAGATCAGCAAAAACCCGTTTTAAATCACAAAGTCAACAGGGGCCTTCCAGCAATAAAAAAGGAACAGGTGGAGAAAGAAGAAAACAAGGTCAAAAAAGACAGGTATTCATTATTTTGGATCAAACAAAGTAGAAAAGTAACCAAAGGGGAAAAGAAATATATACTTTTGCCCATTTTTAACTGGAATTTATAGAAAATATTTCATTAACTAAATATAGTCTTCCTGAGGAAATGCCTAGTGTGAACAGCTCTTTTGAGCAGCGTCAGCTGCTTCCTGGTTTCCAGAATTCCCAGTTGGGTGCTACTGTGCCTGTGACAGGTAGAGGGAAGCATTGCCTGATCATGAACATAAAGGCAAGCTGGCTGTGCCCTGGTGAAGAGCTGCTGAATAGCATCTGTTGAGCAGAGGGATCAAGTCAGAGTTCATTCGGCTCAGTTTATTCACTTTTGGAAAATATTCCCTGCATGTCTCAGGACAAGAGTCTTCAAGAAGCTTTCTGTTGGACAGAGCTTACCCCACCACTGATTACCAACAGCACAATCTCAAGATGTGTCTGGACAGCAAAACATCTTGTGCATTTCTTATTTAATGACCTCAGTCTTGGAATGGGAGGAATTAAGAAGAGTGAACTGCTTTCCTTAACCTGCTTGAGCTGAATTACTATTTCATAGTTCAAAAAGCCTATTTTTGTGGTCACTGTCAATAGACCTCTGTCAGGCACTAAGATGCTGTCACAGCCTCTTTGTATTTACTAGCAGTAGATGCATGATTGCAAAGAATGTTTTAAAGTTAACAGATTTGCTGTAAATTTTTCTCTTCAGGAAGTCGCTCAGACAGTCAAAAGGAAAGCTGAGGAACAAAGGGACTATTCCCCTGGAGGTAGAATCCTGTTCTTTCCTGTTTAATCCTAACTGTTAGACCTTTGGCTATGACCTGTATTGAGTCAGGATCTGACTGAACTGAATCCCAAAGCTGTCTATCTAGTTGTGACAAATCTTATCTTTTCCTTTTCCCCTTTGTGTTAACAGGAGAAAATGGTTCTTCAAAAAGGATGAAGCTATCCAGTGCTACAGTAGGATCTTGGCAGACTCTCTCCGAGAGCAGTAGACAGTTTCTGGAAACTATAGTGGATTCAGCAGTACTGTAAGTGCTAAATATCCTTGTGGTTCTTCTTTGTTTCCACAAGGAATAAAGCAAAAATCATAATATTCCCTGAACTAGAAATGCTTTGGAGCTTTTTGGGGGGATATGACTGTGTCTGTTTTGTCCAGTGTAACACTGGACATCTGATAACTGGATATCTGAAGTTGGAAATTTTTAGCTAGAGAAGTTCTGACTGTGTTCAGTTCCTTTGTGTTCTCTGTGTTTTGCAATGAGAATTTTGCCTGTATTTTCTTTCCAGATCTGTTTTGTGCCAACAAAGGCAGAGCAAATATGATGTTCAGAAGCACCTCAATGTACTGAGAAAAGGGTAAGAAATTATAATGTAAAAAACACAAACAAACAAACCAAAAAACCCAAACCCCAACAAAACAAAAAATAAAAGAAGGAGAGAAGATATGTCTTTTACTCAGTTGTTTTGTACCATGCTTAGAGGGCAAGTTAAAGCTCCCTCTGACATAAAGCTATGTATCATGTTTCATAAAAGCATTTACGGGTTTTACTAAAATGATATTGTTTGGAAGCAATTAAAAATGCTGCTTTTAGAGCTTATTTTTACTTTGAAGAGTAGAAGGATCAGAACTAGGAAAAGATTACGAAAATACTAGTTCATGTTAATTTACAGTCAGGGAGTGTACAGGCCAGTGGGTCAGAAACCACACAAGGTCACTACAATAGCAAAGGTTTGAATGTTGGGATTTCTTACTCGTTTTTCCCTCCTTAGACACCTATTCCATGTGGTTTTGCAAAACAATTCAAGAGAACTTTTCTTCCTGTCTGCATTCTTTTGCTTCACTGGCAGCAGTTGGGCTAAACAGAGTTTAGTTTTTCCCCAGAGAAGGCATTAGTTAGTTTTCTGTTTGTTTTTCAAAGGACTCCAAAGAAGTCACACTTTCCTTTTTCTATAATTAAGGATACTGAAAGTTTTCAAGACTTTGAAGGTGCCTCCAGGGAAGCTGAGCAACCTGAAGAATATTCCAGGCCTTCAGATGTCAGAGAAACAAATGCTTGAGACAAATGAGAACTCTCTGGCACAATTGCAGGTATGAAAGGCAAGGAAGGGAAGGAATTACCTTACCCATATGCTGCTGCTCAGTGTGTTGTACCCTCTAGTAGACAGATTACTGTCTACAGACTACTGCCTGTGCTGTTGTGGAGGAGTGTCCACTTGTCATTGTTGTCACCCATCTTTGCTACAAAGCAGTGTCTCTTTTTGGACAGCTGTCTGCAAGAGGCTCAGCATCTCTGAAGCAAATTTGGTTCTGGTTTTGTGTCTGTTTTGTCTTAGGAAGAAATAACTGAAGCTGAGCGTTCAGCAGTTCGCATTGAGGAAACTCTACAGCAACTGGAGTACAAAATCCAGGTGCTCAAGAATGAGTTAGAGAAAGATGAAAAGGAGGCCGGGAAGGTATTTCCAATAAATATTGCTGTACTTCTACTAACCTAGAGGAATGGACTAACTTTCAGAGCTGTCCCAAACAAGCTGTTTTAAGAGTACATCATATAAGGAAAGGCTTCTTTGCCTTTGGGAATGTCTTTTCAATTTTGCTAACTTCAGTTGAAAAATTTAGTTTTCAGAAGTTGGATAATGACAGGTTATTTTCCTACTTGTGTGCCTAATCTTTCTTTTGGGGTTATTTTTCCATGCTCTTTTTCCTTTCCTAGGTATTGCAGGAAAGTGGCAGTGAAGCACTGCACCTTCCAGAACTCCCCAAGCAGAGTTTTCAGGCACCCACTTTGCAGGTTAGCATGGAATATATTTTATATTTTCAGAGACACTTTGGCCATGAGAAGGAAGGCAACAGAATGTGCTTTTATCACTTAACTTCTGCCAGAGGGACAATTCTGAAAATTCAGAAATATTGAATAGGGTTTTTTTTTCTTTATGCTTATGTTCTAAAACCAGAAAGAAATCAATAGCAAACCTCCCCATCCCAGCAAGTATTCAAGGCCAGGTTGGATGGGGCTTGGAGCAACCTGGTCTAGTGGAATGTGTCCCTGCCCGTGGCAGGGGTTGAAACAAGATGATCTTTAAGGTCCCTTCCAACTCCAATCATTCTGTGATTATATGATTTAAATTATCACGTCTTTCCTAGAAAAGGTTTTTAGGGAAGCTGTAATAATTTCGGAAATATATCTCTCTAACTGTTGGGAGGAAGCGTGTCTCATTCTGTGTCTTTCAATCTTTCTTATTTTAGCTGTATTTAGCTACAGCTGTGCTGCATGACAGTGAAATTCCTGTGGCACTCAGCAAAAGCTGTTTTTTATTTGTTGTCCATCATTCTTTCCTTCTTTAGGAAGAAATTTTGAAGATAAAGAATAAAAACATTCTTGTAAAGGATATGAATGCTATTCAGCAGTCAGCTGACTTGAAGAAAGTGTTAACCCTCATTGAAAAGACCTATGAGAAGGTGGATTTGCTTTGAGAAGCTGAAAATACATGGAGTCTCCTCTGAAGGAGCTAACATAGGCCAAGGCTCTCAGGATGCTGAGCATGGAAACCATGGCTTCTTCCTAATGACTTTACTAATGTGATGGTTGAATTTCTATTAAAACATTTTCTATGGATATTGGTGTATAAATGTGTAGATACGTTCTGGGGCTCAAGTGAATTATGTCATCTATCAAGGGGTTTTTGGGTTGTGTTTTTTTTGGTCTTGTGATGATTTCTAATGATTATATATAAAGTCTTAGGAGAGGGGAGAGAATGGGATCCCAGGTTATTTGAGCATTTTTATAGAATAAAAGACAACTATTCCATTGTATCTGCAGTTTGTATCACATCTGTAAATTGCTGAAGGCAGTATCTCTTACCAAACCAACTTTAATCCTCTTTAAACCTGAAACATGCTGTAAAAAAATGCTTATCTAATCCCCTGTTCAGCTGACTGTTTTTGAAAAAACCCCTATCCATTGCAGGAAATTGAATAATTTTTATCAGACATACAGGTGGCTTTTTTACACTTTCATGTTCACCACTTAAAAAGAAGACACGCATGACTATCCAGATGCTGGGGGAATGCAGATGCAGGGTCAGTTCAGACAAGGCTGTCAACTTTTGGTTGAAAACCCTCAATGTATAGCCAGTACAGGGAGCTCACTAAACACTAATATGAGCTTTACTGCTTTCTATCTTCTTGCCTTCAGAATGGGAAAACTTGAAATTCTTATGGAAGAAATTCTTATGGAAGAATTGTCATCTACTCCTAGAAGTATTGCCAGTTAATGGAAGAATGTGGGGAAGCATCTGCTATCCTAAGAGAAAATGGCTTTTCCTTCATGGGAGAAAAAGTGACATACTGGGGTCTGCAAGCTCAGTACTGGAGGAGGCTGTAGCCACAGCCAAGACAATGGCCTTGCAATGGCCCCTCACAGAGTCATACGCAGAGCCTCTCCATAACTTATTTTCTGATTATACTTTGTATGTTAATCCAAAATGATAAGAATTATTCATAACTGTGTGATCCCTTTTAATTGCCAAATAAATAAAGAAGATAAATCAGGAATTCTATGGTAATGTGATAAAAGGGCACCTACAGTAAAGAGAATGAATGTGCTTGAAGCTTTTGCTTGAAGTTTTCCTCCTATTGCACTTTTAGATGGAGTTTGGTTTAAAACATGTCATTCTGCACCTGAGTTGAGGTTTAGACAAAGCACCACCACAAATACTTGTCGTCTGTATGGTAGAACAGTAGGAAGTAAAATAAGATTTACACAGCAATATCTAGGAGGGTCACTTTGAGCTGTGATGAGCAGGTTTCCAATGATGTGTGAAGGCTTTGGTTTGGGGGAAATTCTCTCTGCAATGTATATTCCAGAAACTTTCTATTTTTCATTGACAATAGAAGAGTCAGGACAAGCAATAGGCAGGCAAAAATCCTTGGTGAGGAAAGGGCATTGCACCCCACAGTGATAGCACAGTAAACAACCATGTTCTTTGCCCCAGCACTGAGGTGATGAACCCTAATGTGTCTGGGTGGCACCTGAGGGTGCTGGGCCTGAACCAAGAGTACCACCCAACTCCCATGCTGGGAAGACAGAGCAGATGCATAGGCTCAAAGCAGAATCACTCTAGGGCTGCTTTGACTCTCAGTCAGTTTTAACTTCTTTTTACTGTTGCCAGGAGGTGGGAGCCCTGTCAGCTGGAATTTGCAGACAGTCCTTATGCAATGTTTAATAGCCAGTCAGAGGGCTGATTACAGAAGCACCAGCTGTTTGCCATGGGTGTACACTTTATTTGCTGAGCTTATCCATTTACAGAATATTCAGGGAAAATATTAATGACCCTCTGGGCTCAAGTCAACTTGCCTTAGGGTTTTTTCCTGAGAAGTGATATGCTGTAACAAGTGCACAACTGTGACTTCTTTGCATATGGTAGTAGAAGGATTAAGGAAAAGAGCCGAGGGGGAGAAAAAGCAATGAGGTATTGGGGAACATCAATATATCCAACCCAGTTTCAAACTCATCTGACTGCCAAGGCCAAATAGCCCTTCTGTTCTGAAGAACTCAAGCTCTGAACATGTCACATTCACCACAGAGGCTCTGTAGTGCTTATCTTTAATCAGGATAGTACAAGCTAGGCACAGCTTCATGGTCCCTATGTCTCTTTGGAGAAACCTGGATGTGGGAGCATTTTTTGGGATATGCTTTCAACAAGCACTCATTACCAAATGGAAACTGAAGTCAGAATGAGACATCTGAGGGTCTGTATTATTTAGCCCAGATTAGGTGATCTAATAGGTGAGTCAGTGAGTGATCAATTAGTCCACACTTCTGGTCCACTTCTGCCCTCCTCCAATAAATTAAATATAAAATAACACTAGTTTTGTTTAGAAGTACTGGAAACTTTCATTAAGATGTGAATTATTTTGGCCAAAGAAATAAGAAGGCAGATGTCATGAAAAAGTAAATTAAACGTTTTTGAAACAAATGGATGCTGATTAGAGCTCTAGGAACGTGTTACAGCACACATTTTGTAGGGTTTGGGGATGACATTAAATGAAATAGCAGGGCTGAGGTCCAGCTCCGAGGTGGAAACTCCAGGTGGAGGGCAGAAGTTGAACCTCTGCAGGAGACTGGTGAAGAAGAGGAAGAGTTCCATTTTGGCAAGAGTCTCTCCAGCACAGATCCTCCGTCCTGGAATGAAATGCAGAACAGCCATAAGAGAGTCTGTGGAAGATGTTTTTTCAACAGTTGGAAGAAAAAAAACCCCTCTGAGCTGCTCTTATTCTGAGAAAAGTCAGTGGGAAACCAGAACACCTGAAATGTCATATCCTAGCTATGGATGAAGAATACAGTAGCTTTTGATAGTCTGTTGAGTAATAAACTCTTCTGAGAGATGATCCTTGGTCTTCTGAGGTATGATAACAAAGCCAGCCAGTGATTTATTTAATTTTTCCTTTGTGTAAATGCTGGCATTTCAGTTTTCTAGTTTAAGGAATTAATTTTCCTTCATTCCCGCTTTCAATAAAATATGCAGTTTTCTTAATTTTCATATTTTTCCTCAACATGGCTCAATTTTTTGATCCCAGACCACTTTGGACAGTTTGGTCCAGACTTTGAATCTATTAGTCTAGTCATAGGCATTTTTAATACTAAAATTTGTCAGAAAATTCCTTGGAGACTCACAAATGCTAGATAGATTGTGACTGAGAAGGCAGGTGGGAGAGATATTTTATGGATATTCAAAAGTGCTGAAAATATAAATTTTTCTCAGTCCTGGTCAAATCAGCATCTTGTAAACTGCCTTAATCACAGCCTGATAAATAAGGCCTAAACTCACAAAAACCTGAACTGAGATTTGATTTTAACTCCCCTGTATGACAGAAAGTGGAAAAAGAAGAGCTATTGCATGGCTGTGCTATGAAACACACCCTCCAGGGAATGCCAAAGAACTCCAGCCCATAGAGCAGTTGTAGGCTACAGATTATACTGCAGAAAAATGTTACCTAAACCATTATGGAATTTGCTGATAACCTCCCTTCATATTTAAGAAGGCAGAACAAATTCATACTTATAATCATCGAATACTAATTGAGAAACCATTAACATCCAGAGTCTAGAGCAATTGGCAGCTAGTTGTGAGCACTTGCTCTGATCAGAGGTGTGTCCTGAAAATTCTATGAAATATGAGGACATGGCCCCGTGAAGAAGTAAGTGTGCAGGCCACGCTTCAGTAACAAAAAAACTCTGGTACATGTGGTTCTTGTACATGCAACACCATTAAATGGAAAAGAGAAGGCACCTGCTGAAAAAGGCATGAAAGCATCTTTCTTCACAAATTTTCCATTGGCATCAAGAAAGTGCTCAGGATAGAACATGTCTGGTTTCTTCCACTGTGATTTGTCTTGCAGGACTGAGGCCAGTAAGGGGATGATGTATGTTCCCTGCAAAACAGGACAATGGAATTAATCCCTGGACAAATATTGTGGTGGAAGTGATGGCAAAAGGCTCCAAGTTTGTCAGCCTGGAGAAAAGGATTATTCTGACTGATGTTATGTGACTTCATTAAAGATCCATGTTTGTCACATTAACTAAATTTGAGAAATAAAAAATGCTAAATAAAAACTAATCCTGTAGGCATCTCACCTTGGGAATGAAATAGCCTTTGAGGGTGACATCTGCAGTGGTCTCATGAGGCAAATCCAATGGCAGGATATTAGCAAACCTCTGAATTTCATGGATGACAGCATCTGTATATGGCATCTGAGTTCGATGCTCAATTCGTGGGGGGTTTGACCCTATCACTTGCTCTATCTCTTCTTGGACCTTTCCTGAGGAGAGAATCAAGTATGAGAGAGAGACAAGGACTCATTCATCCTTGAGACATACTGTCCTTTACTGATGTAAAGTATGAAAATGAGTGAAAATCATAAATTCTCCAAAAATAGTTTTTTTTCCTTTCAGAAATATGGAAAATAAACAGAACTACAGTGTTTTATTTTTTCTTTACCAAAAAGAAACCTAAAGACTTGACTCCTAACAACCCTATACCATCAATTGGAATGGAGATGTCAAACAATGGGCAATTCTCTGAATCTTCTCAGGTATGTAAAGCCTCAGTACTGTTCATTTAACATCTGCACAAGTCTTTGGTTTATCAAGAGTTCATTTCTGAGGGTAACAATTTGGTTGGCCAACACAGGACAGCTCTTACTAATGAGATTTTACTGAGAAAAGGGCATGACCCATATGAGCTCTGTTTATACCCTACTTCTAGGCTGACTAGTGTGCCCCTCACTGGGTCTGAACCACAGGGCACAGCAGTACATAGACAATAATTAGCTAGAAATCTTGGCTTTTTATAACTTGGTATATTAACAATATGTTGACCCTCCATGTTCCCATTTGGTTCCTAATACCCTGAGTGTAACAGTTTCTGTCATAAAACCACTTACTCTGAACTTCAGGGTACTTTAGCATCAGCAGAAAGCCCCAGTACAGTGTGGTGGAAATTGTCTCAACACCAGCAATAAACAAATTGCTCACCAAGCTTAGCAAGTTGTCATTATGGAAATATCCATTGATAGTGGATTTCTCCTGAAAAAGTGGTTGAGATAAAAGGATGAAAACTATAAGATTTCCATGTGAAAATGCAATTTATGTAGGG